GCCCCTCAAAAACACCCTAAAAAAACAACACGCTAAAACCCAGTGATATCTATATTTTTCATCCTTAGCCACATGGAACTTTCCTGACACGGGAAAAGACAGCAGCGGAAATTGAGGCCATGTTTCTTCAGAAACCCAAAAAGGAAGTGCCACTGCGGAAAACATGTGTACAGCTGGATCTTCTGAAACCTGGGGACGTCTTTGTAAGTACAAACTCATTCAGGGACAGTGTCAGAAATATTCAAGGAAATGTTTAATTTATACATATGGTTTTTCTCTTGAAAGAAAGTTTTCCAGGAGAACAGAGAATCCGTCGAATTGGGCCATATTATACTTACTAAAAAGGAAAAGAAAATTTCTTAAAGGGCGCATAATAACCTATTGCTGGATAACTGGCATCTCCATATTATCAATAATGTTACTCCCGAATCTAGACTTGTAGAATGTTCATAATTATTGCAAATATACTCAGAGTACTAAACAGATGTAACTGTAGCCTATTTAAAATATTTACAAAACAAAATAAAATATGAAAAACAACAACAACAGTAACCACACCAACAACAACTACAAAAAACAAACAACTTTGTGAAGCATAGAAAGAGGTCTCAACTTGTTTTCCTAGACAGTTGATATTTTGCTAAGCCCAGGACCTAATGTTAAGCATTCTATAGTAAGGTATTTCCGCAGTTGATTGGTTGATAAGTCTTACAGCATTGAATACCAAAACAGGTAACAACGAAAAGAATAAACAGAATAAAATAAACTTTATTCAGCACATACTTACTTACTAACTTGGTTGGAGAATAGGCATCATTGCAGGTGGCACAATGCCATAGCTGCTCCTCCATCCTCTCCAGGCTCCATGAAAAGGTCTGCCTGCTGATTGTGCCAGTTATCAGCTGGTTGGATATTCTTCTGGCTTTTCCGCGCAGGTTGCTGTCTCTCCCCGACACTCTAGAGACTCTAGAGTACGTTAAGTACATTCAGCGCAAAAGCATACAAGGAGCAGCTAGTGGTTTCACTCAAATTACTTGCACAAATTATTTGTTGAATTTCTCAGTACAGAGATTTGGTTGTGTTTACTTATATTGTATTGTAGTGTAGTATGCATCGTCAGCAAGCTGTTCACATGTTCTAAGCCCAGAAATAATTTTTTTTCTGGATGGAGAATACACACCCTCTTTATTTTTTTTTTAAAATGGTGCCCGCTTTATGTCTCTTCTTGCATTTTCTTCGTGATTCTCAACGCAATATTTTTTTTTAGCTCATGCAACAGATACCATAGATTTAAAAAATGCAATCATTTTTTTTCTCCAAATTTTTTTGGCTTACTACATCTGAACAGCTGGCTGAAGATAGTTATGTGGTTTTCTGCTTTTGTTGAGTGGCCAATAATGCCTTCTTTCCTAGATTTAAGAAAGGGAATGTTTCGTCCTCATTCGTCCTCATGGACGACAAGGTTGTTTTCGTCTAATTTTGTGGAGGTGGTGGCTCAGAGGATAGAACGTTCAGCAGCTTCAGTGTGCCTTCGGTGTTTGTGTCTATGTATAGTCGACGGTAGCTGAATGCTTTTTTTTTTTCAAACTAAGTACATGTAAGCCTGAATAAGCAATAGCAAAATTTTCCAAGAACTTATCAGAGGCAAGTGGTTTTTTAGATATTGTCTGTTTAAACAGAAGTGCTCGCACGCGATGTCTTCTTTACAAATATTGGGGATGTTTGTTCAATGAGGCGTTCTTTGTTAATGATGGTGAGCGAGAGCTTACTTTAAAGTTGAAACTGTCATATAGGCACAATTCCGTGCATCTCATGCTGCCGTTTGTCCTCTTACTACTTGTGTAGTTACGGCTAAATGGAAGGTTGTATCAGTGTAGCACACAGATTATCTTAAAAATAAAAGTGACATTGTCTGGTATATTTTTTGGTTGAAAGGTAAGGTATGTCCCTGTGGAAAAAGCGTTCAACTGCTGTCTGACAAGTATTACATAGTTTGTTATTACTAATGTTGGTTGACAGGGCTATGAGCATATTGTTATATACTGATTCCAAACATTTAAACAGGGTCTAGATGACGTTTCTCGCAAGTTCCGCTCCATGCAGAGCGATGCTTCTGAGGTAAAGCTTCGATCAAAAAGATTGATACCCAACCTCTATATCCAACCCATTACTAACTGTATATAAATATTATCATATATCTATATGTGTCGGGGCTCCTATAACAATATATTATTTGCTTCTACGTACATGTTTTTTATTTCCAAATGATACCCTTTTTATCGAAGTCAAGATTTTAGCTTTGACGATATTTAGTGCCAAATTGCTCCAAACAGACTCATTCTATTGAAGATTTCAAAGGTATCATGTCGGGCTTTATATACATATCCATCATAACTAATTATTCCTTGCGTAAGTGCGAATACTGACTTAATATGGTGGAAGCTTAATAAAATGTCGCTTCCCTCTTTTTTGTTCCAATACAGCACATGAACTAGTTGAGAAATGACTGAATGATCGTCCATTGTTTTGAAATTTAAAAATTCGCTTGATTCTTTTGAAACTGCTGTACTCTTAAATGCACCTTTTCATGATTACATGTAATTTGATAGAGGTCATTGGTCAAAATAAAAGAAGACCATTGTCAGAATTTCTTCCTTTTACGAAAGGTGTGATTGTTATGCAAGGAAATATATTGTATACCTGATATAAAATGCTTACATAACACCTTGTATTAATTTACAATGCACCCTGTGTATCTAAATTTAATGTAATAATACTTGAACTTTCTTTTCCGTAGTTCATTTATCGTCATTTATCGTGCAAACTCAAATAAAATAGCCTACTGTTTAACCTATTATAGTTTGAAGTCCTATTGCAGCTCGGAACCTCGGATAAAGTGAACACTCTGTTCTGGTCCCAAAGAGTTCACTGTAAATTGTGGCAAACCAATTTTTACAAAGTTAATAAATTTGGTTCATGGTAATATTTTTTAATGTAGACGTTTTTACGCCCTGATCGACATAATTTAAATCATTTCAGAGGCTTGGTAATGCCTCCAAACTGAGATCACTGAAATAAGTTATAATATTATTTTTTATCAGACGCATATACTTTAAAGAAATCCTAGCTTTAAAACCCCTCAAAATGAACGTAAGTATTTTTACTTTTGGGTTTTTTTGGTAATGTTTTGTTTCACAGTATAATTATAAAATAGCACAACTATTCATAAACCCACATGACAATATCCATGTCGTTTTATTTCTGTGTATCTCAGGAAACACATCTAATTTTGTCACCAGTTGCTGTAGGCAGTAGTTGTACTGTCAACTGTCGACAAGCTGTTCAATAGTACTGTTCTAAGCCCAGAAAACATTTTTTGGGAGGAAGGAAAAAATAAGTTTTATTCATTAAAATGCTGTAGCCAGACTATGTATCTTTTCTTGCTGTTCTCAACGTTAAAAATTTGAATTTCAATAAAATACCTAGGCAGCACATGCAGCAGAAAAAAAAATTGCGTTAAAAGAATATTGGCTATTTCAAAACTTTGGGCTTAGTATGTTAGTACATCTGAATAGCTGGCTGACGGAATATTTCGTAGAATTTTCTTAGAGACAAAAGCTTTCTATGTATTAGTATTAGGCTTATGTTTCGTGTTGTTTAAAAAATTCAGTTGGCCTGACTAGAGCCGTCATAATGTGGTAAGTAAAATGTGAGTTTAAACGTGTTTGAAGGCTCCCCTTTCAAATTGAAACAACTAATAGTTACTGTTACATGTATATTCACTGGGGTCTCATTGGTATCATCATATTATGTCTGATATTTGTGCCCCATACTTCATCTATCAGCACACTGGGATAACCGCTAAGGATTTGGTAAGTTATGTGCACGGACATGCATGCTACGAGACTCTTTCTGTAAGCAACGTCTTACAGCATCCCAGCATCCATATATTTCTTTTCTCCTGGACCGCAGATACCTGCATGAATCTGAAGTCTTTTTCTTGCACCTATTTCTACTTGAAAGAAAAAGATTTTTGGTCTACTTATGAGCTCCATCTTTATCAGCCGTGCAAACTTGTGGTGCATGTGACTTTTGATTCCAGTTTTGAAAAAGACTTTCTTGAAATCATATTGTTAGGGAGGCCTCAACTATTAGCGTTCACTTGTCTCTATCATATTTGAGGCGGTTAAAACAAAATCAGTGGCCCTAACTCTCTAATAAAGATATCATGTTCAGATGCCTGTAAACATAAGTGACAGTGAGCCAACCATCAGTTTCAACCCACTTGTGTTGCTTCCAAGGCATGTTGCATTTTCAACTTTGGGATAATAAACAGTCGACATGTAAAGCCGTTTCCTGAAGACCTGACAAAAATCTGACAATATCAGAAATCAGGGAAATCACTGTAGTTTAGATTTAAGTAAGCGTTTTATGGCAGTTTCAATTTAAAGATAGATAATATAGGTGTCTCTAGACAGTAACAGAAAAGGAGGAGAGATAAGGACGATAGATTTTTGATTGGTAAATCGAAGCAAAGAATACTTGAGTGCCCGCCAATTTAGGACCCACTGAACAAAAAAATAATAGCTGCCATTTTCAAAGAATTATAACTTCTGGCAAATATACCTCATCAGACGGCAAAATTCCATTCGCAATGGAATAGTGCTTTTGGACTATTTGTATCAAAGCCCTGCATATGCCAGCGCTATTTTTGTCGTTTCTAAATTTTTCATTTGGTGTTAAGTGTAGGAAGGCCTATTTTACGCCCCCATCAACACCATCAAGAACATTGAGGAATCGGGTTTCGATCCTGCCAGTCAGATCCAACCTGGACTTCAGTTAGGGAAATAATGTCTCAGCAGAAAGACTGAGGTTCACTATACAAAATCCTCCCCACATGGGAATTGAACTCAGGTTTTCTGCGTGTGACGATGAAGTGCTTTATAGCCTAACTGCTACACTGCAGATGCTGGCTGGTTCTCAACAGGACCCTATGTGAAAACCAGAATTTATAATTGTCATCTCACTGTTGCTAAGACGGGGGAAATGTGTAACGTGATCTCCTGTTATTTGGTGACTGGAACAGATGAATGAAAATATTGGAAGAATTATCAAATATTCTACGACCCCCCCTCCTCTCCCCCCAAACCAGGAAAACAAAAAGCAAAGTGAAAGGCTTGGATAGTAATACTCTCTAAACATTACTGAATTCTGTTTATTCAGCCTATGACAAGATTGTCATTGTGTTTTCGACGTATGTTAAACCAGCCGATTAAACTTCTGATCGTCCGAAGAAATTTCTAAAAATCTACCAAGTGTTACACAGCATGCATTCCTTGGGTATTTTCAAGCAACTATAGTTATATTATTATCATCATCATCATTATTATTATTATTATTATTATTATTATTATTATTATTATTTTTATTATTATTATAATTATTATTATCTTTATAAGTTTTTTGTTACTATCAATATTATTACTATTATTCTTATTCTTATTCTTGTTCTTATTCTTATTCTTATTATATGTACTTTGTGTCTGGAAGCCTTTAACTGCATGTGTTTGTTTTTATGCGGTGAAGACCCATCCCTCTGTGTGTTTTTCTTTCCTTTAAGATTCTTTAAGCATGAAACTGATAATCATATTTCCTACGTATCTATGTTTTTTTCCCTTTTTTATTGTTATTCTTTAAAAAAATCCAAAAGACGTGAATGTATTCTGCTACACATGCATGTTTATTTCTTGATTCTACGTGGCACACTTTGTGATTATTCTGTGACCCTTCCTATACTACACACTTGAGACGTTTAACTTTTGTTTCACTTACTTTTATGACTCTTTCCTCGTTCTAGGCAGCTACAAATCGCTGTGTAGATCATTTTTTAAATCCCTAGGTATTACATTTCTGGACAATAACCCATCTCTGCTAAAAACTCTCTCTCCCCCCCCCCCCCTCTATTATTATTGTTATTACTATCATTGATTTTTTTTCTTTAATTTTGAAACTAACATCTGAGCTGAGAGGAATACAACATCCCAGCAAAACTACCGAGACACTCGATAAAAATTCTCCTTAAATGGGACACAAACTCTGGTCTCTTGTGTGAGACGGCGAAGCATCTAACCACTACATGACACCACATACGCCGGCACACCTACATGTACTTATAAAATATCTGTATTGTCATCAGCCTTCAGATATAATCATTTGGTGAAATGCTGATATGGCACTATTAGTTTTGGTGGATATATTATATTTACAAATTCTTTTTAGTCCGTATTTTTGGGGTTGTTTTTTTTAGAGGGGGTGCTAACTCTTTTAACCCTATCCGTACACCCTGGGGTCATTGTATACTCCCGGGGTTGTATTCTTCACATTTAGAATACTTCTAGTTTGAAGATCTCTTTGAAACTTTCCAGTATTTCTCAAAAATCATTTTGACAGACTGCTATGCAAAGCGTACGGATAGGATTAACGAGTAAATTTCCTCTTTGGAAAGTGGTGGCACAGAGTTCTCGACGTCATATGGATACGATAGTAAAACACGACGTACGGAGAGGGTTAAGGTTAAAACAGCAACAATAATGACAGCAACAAAAACAACAACAGCAAGAATAACAGCAAGGACAATATATAACAAACAACAACAGCAGCAACAACAACAGCTGCAACCTTGTGGGGAGATTAATGTTTTCAGGGGGTTGAATTTTTATTCAAATCAGTTGTGTTTGGTTTTGTGTTGCTGGTCTTTACTTTGAGTAAGTATTTCTTTTTTCTTTTTCTTTTCCTTTCCTTTCTTGCTCTTTGTCTCTCTTTGTCTTTTTCTGTTCCTTTTCCACCCTTCCCTTCCCTTCTATTTTAAGCCCATTTCTCCTCTACCTGTTCTTGGTAAACCATCTCCTTATCTTTTGTCTCGTACTTAGTGAAACAAAAACAAACCCCCCCCCCCCCCCCGACATCATCCCCATCAAAGTATCGTATAACTTAGATCTGCCTTTATGTCATTTAATGTTTCTCTGAGATAGTTTAAGAACTTTCTATGTTCTGCAGGGGTAATAATTTAGTAGTTTTAAAGCGCATAGAGCTTGCTGTTGAGCATGGATATGCGTGATATAAATAAGATTCTAGTTCTTGTTCTTGCCCTTGCTCTTGTTTTGTTGTTGTTGTTATTGTTCTTGTTCTTGTTCTTGTTCTTGTTCTATTTATTATTATCAGCATTGTTATAACGTTATATCATCTTATCCCATCAGGGCTTGGAAACACTTGAGCTGCCTACCATACAAAAGATAGAGGGTCCTCCTTTGTGCTTGGTGAGTGTGAAAGGCCAGTAGCAAAGTTAAAGAAATAAGAATTTCAATATTATAACGATTTCAAGAGGATCAGAATTGAGGAAATAAGAGAAGAGAATATTTTCGTTTGATTTTTTTTTCTTTGTATAATCAATCTTTCCAGTAGTTTTGAGTCTTATAATTTATCATATTTATAGTCTGAGCAGAAGTTATGTAATGTATTTGAATCAGTTAAGTAGACTGACTGAAAATGTTCCTGAGCAGAGCTACATGGACATTAAAGACTACTAGATTGAAAAACAATTAAGTATGTCATTTGCATTTTACCTCTTGACAGACGATCTTAAAAAAGTATACATATGGTACAGATTTGCCTTGGCAGTGGACATAGAATAATAAATGAAGTAGATTGCCCAAGTACATGTACTACTTTCCATCCTTTAGATCTTGACTTCCTTGATATTATGCTCTGAAAGAGCGACTGATTAATGCGTATGAAATCAAGGAAGGTTTAATGGTGTGCCTCCCTGTTTTGCAGTTGAGATATGGGTATTTTTTATAGTAGAGAATTAATTTCAAAAAATTAAAACAACAACGAATAAATCAATATTAGTCTAAAGTTCGGTCTTTCTGGTGTTCGAGCAATTTCAGATGTTTGTGGTGTATGTAATTTCACTGTATTTCTGAAAAAGCCTATTGTTAACTTCAAACAAATAATGATTAAGTCTGACGTGTTTGACATGCCTCGATTTCCAGAACCTATCTCGAATGATTTAGAAATTATACAATGGAGCCTGCTCTAATGGCCACCTGTCCAAGAAAATCACCTGTACAAAGGACTACTTCCCACTGAAACTGCCTCCCTTGCGATTATGTTTTTGTATGTATTATAATGAAACGTACTGCCAAAGACGCCCATCTTCTTAGGACAACCACTTTTTTCCCCTCAACATTTAGGTGGCTATCTTGGACAATTAAGTTTGGCTGTATTCCATCATTGACTAAGATTTTGTGATTCGTTCTTTTAGTTGTGAAAACAAATGTGAGGCATTGTGGTGAAATCAGGTGCTCGTCAAAATAATGAACTGAAAGAAACAGGTATTTTTCCACTCCTTGGGCAGTTTTTTTGAACAATTCTTCTTCTTTTGTCTTGCCCATTAAAATACACATTTCTGTGTGGATTTTACTGAAAAACGTTGATCAAAGACACAAAAGGAAATTCAAGCTTTGGAAGTCACCTAATTTTGGTGGCCATTTTCTCCCTAATTTTACCTTTGAAAGTAGGCAACCCCTGACCTCCGTCAATTACAAATATCCCAACTTCTATTCAAGATAGATGGATAATTTTTTAAATTAAAAGCAAGATAAATAAGCAAACTGTCAAACGATACCAATAACTCAATATGCCCAAAATTGACGAGCGCCCGATTTTGACGCTCTAAATATGGTAGCATGAAGTCAAAACATTACACTTCAAAGTATCTTCAACTCAATTTTTAGTTGTTGTTATTACTATTATTGTTGTTTTTGTTGCCGTTGTTGTTGTTCTTGTTGTTATTAATTATTGTTGTTGTTGTTGTTGTTGTTGTTGTTGTTGTTGTTGTTGTTGTTGTTGTTGTTGTTGTTGTTGTTCTTCTTCTTCTTCTTCTTCTTCTTCTTCTTCTTCTTCTTCTTCTTTTTCTTCTTCTTCTTCTTCTTCTTCTTCTTCTTCTTCTTCTTCTTCTTCTTCTTCTTCTTCTTCTTCTTCTTCTTCTTCTTCTTCTTCTTCTTCTTCTTCTTCTTCTTCTTCTTCTTCTTCTTCTTCTTCTTCTTTTTCTTCTACTTCTTCTTCTTGCTGTTATTATTTTCTTTTTACGTGGAAATCCTAACAGCATAGCCTGGTTTGTCCTTGTCTGGTACTCAGTTTTTGTTCCTGTTTCTACAGGTCAGTGATGGTGCTGAGGTCATCAAAATCTCCAAACGATTTTTTCTTCAGCATGCTCAGAACAACACAATGCTCCGGGTGGAAACTATGGTAAATTTGTACAACAATTTCTGTTCGTGTGTGAGATGAGATGAGATGAGATGAGAAGAAATACATATTTATTGTCCAGGCACTGGCACATTGCTTTAGTAATTCGCCGCACATTTCTCAGCAAAAAATGTGGATTGAAAATAGCCCAGATGCTTTCTTTATTAATATTGCGTTTCGAAATTTACTGAGCGAGATTTAAAAAACTGATTACGGAAATAATATATGTTTAAAACATCATATTTTAGTGAACTGATTCAGGTCTATTTAGTATTCTTCCACTCAGCCTGCTTGACGTAATTTATTTTGGACACGCTTTGTCATGTGTGGTTAAGTCAACAGACTTACATTTTACTCCCTCCTGTTTTTTGTTGGCTTAAGTAAGTATTCACCGATATCTGTGGTGTAGCCGGTTAGAAGCATTGTCTTCGCTGTACTCGGAAACTCCGAGTTCGGTTCCCATGTGGGTGTATCTCTGCATGTGTGTGTGTGTGGGGGGGGGGGGGGGGTATTCTTTTTTAGAGTCTTGGACTTTTTTAGGAACGTTATATCTTTTTCATCCAGAATTGTGTTTTATTTTTCTTGTCGTTTGGGTCTTATTTCCTTCTCAATTAACCGTTGAATAATTTCTTTTATCGTCTTCAGCAACGATCGTACCTATCAACTGATGAAGCCAAGGACATTCTCTTTGACAAGGAGACATGGGGCCAGTACAAGGAGGCCCTGATGAAGAGACTTATTGCTGGACTTCCCAGATAGAAAGCAAACTTATTATTAGTATTATTATTCTTCTTCTTCTTATTATTATTATAATAAATAGAGTGGAGTGGCCCAATCTTCCCTTTTGTGGTATACTTGGGGATTTGATTTTCAGATTAGTTTTCCTTTCTGCGTAACTGGCTTTTATTTTCCAGATCAAACCTAGTCAATACCTGGCTAGCGACGCAACTTAAGCTCACTCTATACAGTTTGAGTATCTAAATGATTGTGAGGTGTATGTTTAACAGGTTGCAGCTGTTATCATGCTGCACTGAGATCAATGACTATTAACATCAGTGGAATGTCTAGTCTACCAAACACAATCCATAGTTACTAGTACAGTTTTTAAAACTATTTTTTAAGTGAATTCATGGCGAAACTAAATCAGAATGGGGAGTTGGTGGTCTTGTGGTTAGGATATTGGGCTCCCGACTGAAAGGTCATGAATCCTGTTAGGGGCCAAAGGTTGTGTGCTTTGAAAAGACACTGGACACGAATGTTCCTCACTTTTTCCAGGTGGGAATGGGTACCTGACTATTCATAGACAGCAAAAGATCTTGTCAGTTCGTTAGTGTCTGAGAGCTTATTCGGCTATATGCACTGTGTGCATTCCGGTAAGCTGAGAACTTTATTGAGTGTTTAGAGATTTGCTGGGATGATGATACAGATCACAGAGTGCATAGGTTTTGCTGTTGAGTGAGAATATGCGCTATACAGATGCTATTTATTTTTCATTTTTTTAGGGAAATACCTGTCACTGAGAAAATAATCCTTTAGACTTTCACGTGTGTTACTATGGGTCCATATACTTTGTTCCAATCCGTGAATTGCCGGCGTCTGTGTTGTATTGATAAGATTTGTAGCCGTAGCAGGTAAAAGATAAGAGTTCGATTCTTTCGTAGGGAAGTAAAATTTTAAAGTATTGATTTTAAGTGTGTACGTCTGCTGAGATTCTGTGACTCACACTGCCCAAATTGGATGACCCTAACGATAGGCAAGGATATGCAGCAGTTCAGATATATGTGTCTCGACACACTGGAATGAGGTGATTGTCATTTTGGGGACAGATTATAGAGTGTGTGCATAATGTTAAAGCGTGTTCATGTGCCTTGCTTTTAATGAAAAAAACCACCTCAGTTTGTCTATCTTGAGTAGAAGTCGAGATATGTGTACGTAATTGAAGAAGGTAGGGAACTCCTGGTGTCAGAGGTAAAATTAGTAAGAAAAGAGTTGCCGGAGTGCTTATTCGATGTAGGTGTTTTATGCACCAATAGGACACAATTTAGATCATTTGACAGGAAGTGGGCTTCGACCCTGCTCGTTAGGGATAACCCTGCCTGATAAAGGGAAACAACGTCACGAAAGAAAGACCTAGATGCTTAATAATTTTTTTTCACACAGGGATTGTGAACTCAGTTCTTCTGCATGCGGTGACAAAGCACTCAACTCCTACACCACAGACTCTGGTGAAAAAAACTCAGCATTACGTATATTATTTTTGTATTTATTGATAGCGGTACTGTGATATGATGTCTACATGACCTTGGTGTCGTAAGTTGGGTGTTTTTTGTGATGTTCCCATTGATATTCAATAATATGCTTATTATGTAAAGTATGGTTGTCAAGGTATTTAAATGAAAAAGAGAGTGGGAGAGATGTAGGAAGTGAGATATCGAGAGAAAGGTTCAGTTAGATAGATAGATAAATTAAAAAAGAAGGAGAGAAATAAGGGGACGGAGAATGGAGGAAGGATGGGGGTGTTAGGGGTGTAAGGAACACAATACTATTATTATAATATTGAAATAGTGTTCAATCGACCCGTACCAGTTCCATGTACACATTGAGAGCTAGAAACAAAATTCAACTGTCAAATTTAAATACGTAGTTGTGCGATTTCAACAACGGTTTCTGTCGTAATGTGTATGTGTATGTGTGTATGTATGTGAAGGTGTCTGAGTGTTTCTATATTTGTGTGTATTGGTGTGTGTGTGGTGTGTGTGTGTATGTGTGGGAGAGGCGATGAAGAATGGGGAGGGAGGGCTCTGTATGATAAAGAGGAAAAAGTTACTCCACGTGAGAATAATGTCAAAATGACAAATTTTTTCCAAACATTTACCCCCACTGTTACTTACATGAGCATCTATTTTTAGTATTGTTTTCTGTCTTAGATGAAAATATCACAAAATGTTTGAAAAACATTTAATTAATTATTCATCGAGGGTGAGCATTTCGGTCATTCAGCAAAACTGAAGGACATAATTAAAAAAGATAGCATAGCCTACTACATTATTCATACAGAATTTTAGTATTTGATTTTCTGTATCTGAAACTTGTAAGGGCAGGTAACATCGAGTGGTGTATTATAAAATAAGTAAATTTGTGCATATGATTTGTATATGATGGTTCGAAATGTGCTGTAAGATCACCTGTGGTGATCAGACTAACATGTAATATGTGCACTGTGTTTTTTAAAGAAATACAGAAACATACTGCTCTGTAATGTTGTATCCTGCATATTACGCTGCGGAGAGTTAACACAACTTCACCCGCACATGAATACACTTGTGCGCACACGCAGACAAGAGCACACCATTACAAATGCATCAGGTCCATATTCGTGTAAAAGCAACACACACACACACACACACACACACACACACACACACACACACACACACA